TTACAGCCCCGTGTAAACGGCGCTCTGCCGGGCGATGTGCGCCATTTTCAAAAGGCGCTCTCTTTCGCAAGATTAGACTGCGCGGCGGTTAGTCCGGCGGATAAGACTCGGGCGCCGCAAAAAGTGAAATTGCACGCGTAATATCTGCACGGCGGGATCTCTCGGATCGGCCGGTGATAGAGCCGGCGGTAACCGGCGAAAGGAGAGCGCCCCGGCGGGGCCCGACGCGTTGAAAATAATTGCAAAACACACGGCGTTACGTTGTAATTATATCATGCCGCTCGTAGAGAAAAAAAATTGTATCGCTGAAGCTTAAAATAGGAGATATCGGATTTGCGATATCTATTCGCGCTAGCAACATTCCAGATATTATTTAACAATCATCGTTAACGTCAAAGGTTATTCGAATGTATTTCAATTATTCATTATTTTACGTATGGAAACGCGCTCGTACGGGAAAATTGTTTTTTTTTATCTAACTCGCCTTTGTGTCGGTGAAATTCGCTTATACATATATGCAATATTTTACAATTGGATATGTTTTCTCTTTTCTTTCTGGTTCACCAAATTAAATGGTATATACATATTAATATGTAGGTTACTCCCGAGTCCGGAAACCGGCGGCACAATGAGCGGGATTAATTAACATGGATATGGAGCGCGGTTCAGCGTTGAACCCGCCGTGTATGTGTCCGGGAGACTAGAAATCTATCTAAAAATTTTCTCTCCGCCGCAAAGCTCGACTTATTATTCGTAGAATATCTGACAGGCTTGACATAAATTTCCTCAATTCCGGAGAGAACCGAGCGAGGTCGTAACCCGTTTAATTTTCGACATCGGTCACTTTTAGAGCTGATGTCAAACTGAAATCCAGTTCAATAAGGTAACATTCGTGTTGCGAAATTAAATAAAAGGCAAACCTGTATCTGTTTAATTCTGCAAAATTTAGCTCGCCGAAAAAGCCCGTTTTCAGACGCTAACAATCCAGAAGCTACCAATTCCGATACTTTGATACTAAGGGACTTTGACGCTGGATTTTTTCTGTTTATATAAAAAAGTGCGGTCAGCGGTAAAATTAATCTTACAGGTCTACGGCGGGAAAACCGCAGGTTGCAGATTATAAGTGACTTAAAATTTAAACATTAATGTTAAACTCATATTCGAAGATACGGTCTCAGGTCATATTGCTCAGTTTTGTACGCAAGAAACACGGAAAAGATGCACGTCTGTGAAATTTAGCTCCGCTTTATCAAAAACCGTGAAAATTAATTACAATTCTACATGCCTCTGCGAGTTTTAAGGTTCTCGATGGGTCTATAGAGAAAGACGAATTAAAAAATGAAGCTAACTTCGCGGACTCCACTAATCTACCTCGCGATCGAAAAGTATGCGATTTCGATATTCAAGACGCCAATTCGGACATTTTTCCCGGGAAGAAAAACCGATTTCTCACGGCAATTGTTGAGTTTCGATGCCGCGAGTGTGGCGCGCAATTGCACCGATCGAGTGCAATCGATTCTAAAAAGAGACGAATTTCGAGAAAGTGGAGCCTAACTTCACAGACGTGAAAGATGCGGAAGCTCGAAATGATACTTGCATCTACCTCGCGATCGAAAAGTACACAATTATGTTATTCAAAACGCCAATTCGGACAATTTTCCCGGGAAGAAGAAACGATCTCTCACGGCAATTATCCAGTTTCGATGCCGCGAGTGTGGCGAGCAATTGCACCGATCGGAGTGCAATCGATTCTAAAAAGAGACGAATTTCGAGAAAGTGGAGCCTTCACAGACGTGAAAGATGCGGAATCTCGAAATGATGCTCGAATCTACCTTGCGATCGGAAAGGATACAGATTCGATGATTCCAGGTTGATTTTTCCCGGGGAAGAAGAGACGATTTCTCACGGCAATTACCCAGTTTCGATGCCGCGAGCGTGGCGCGCAATTGCACCGATCGAGTGCAAACGCATGAATTTTTCTCGGCGCCAAGGTAATCACAGAGGTAAAAGAGAAAGCAAATTTGAAATTCATAGTTTAGCCAACCCCTCCCTCCCTCCCGCCCGCCGTATCCTCCGTCCATATTTCTCCGCGGATCCGTTTTTCCTCGCTCTTTCCTTTATTTTCTTCCTCGCTCGCGGGAACCTAACCTAACCTAACCCGTACGGTCTTTCCAGTTTCGACGCGAAAAGAACAGCGTGAGAACGCGCGCGGCCAAAACGGCCGGGGCCTCACGTTCGGGGACCCCGTTCGCTCGGGTCACGTTCGCCATTGTGCATCGCGCATGCAAAACGCCGCGCACGCGGCCCTGACACGGCCGCGTACGAAAAGGAGAAGGTAACTCACCGAGCGGCGACGGCTCGTTCCGCGTGCCTGCCCGTCATCCTCGAAGAATCCTGGGCCGGTCGTGCTGCGTGGGAAGACTCGCGGCGAGCAGATCACTCCATGCCCGATGCGGCGCGCACCAGCCTTCGGAGCAGAAGAGGAGAAGCGTTTCTCTCGTGCGAAACGCCGATTCCGCGGACTCCGAGCTCGCTTCGCCCGAGCGGTCGGAAGTTGGCCGCGAGCGCGCGCGCACGAGAGAGAACCGCGAAACCGGTAGGGAATTGAAATCGGAGCTCGCCCGCGCGTACCTTCCTCTTTTCTCGCTCGCTCGCCCCGCGCGTGGTATCGGACGATCCCGTTTGTCCAATCTGCGGGCGGAACAAGCGCGATGCGTCGCGTCGGGCGGTGACGCTCGATTAAGGAACCGGAGGGAATTGCACTCCGATCGAGTTACTCGCTTTCGATCGCGCTTCTAAAAGATGGAGTCAATTAAGCGGAGACTCGGCACACACCGATTTACTCAGTTCGTTACGTGCGAGGGTAGGCGCGCGCTCGCAATTACGGGGCTGCCCCCCCCCCTCCCCTTCCCCGCCCCGTCCCGCCCCGCGCCCGGACGCGACCATAATTGCACGCACACGTTCGTTAATCTTTACCGGCTCGCGGTAATTAATAATTAATCATTCGAGTTTGTGGGCGTAATTGGCTGGAATTTAATCGGCTACATCGGATAAACTGATTTGTTACGCGAGAGAGACGGCGGGGGGCGGCCGGAATAAACGAATATCAAATATTACCGCGCTTTCGGGGGAAAAAAATTTGAAAGGGGATATCGCGCGGATCAGACGCGCGGCGAGCGCTTCGCCCGACGTCCCCGTAGCTTTTCGCGCACGCCGCAGTCAACGAAGGTCGCCCAACTTCCGATTGTAACAATAGATAACTGCTTTTCGCTCTGCGATAAGAATCTTGTCGGCGGCGCCAGCGCGGTCGGAGACGTGTGCGATTTTGGACTCGAAAATTGGCGGACGGCGTACCGCGAGAACTGCCCTTGCGTCGAATCAATAACACTCGAAATTGTATTTGGCTCTTCCCACGAGTGCCTGCGTCAATTTAAAACGTGCATCACGGCATGCGTTGCCACAAATCTCGAAATGCTTATCGTAAAAATACGTAATACAATTTGAGTCACGCGCTCGTCGGCCTTTCGCAACCTCAATGGACGCCCGAGCGTCGAACGTCAACGTCGCCGTCAACGTGTCCTCAACGCGCAGTCCGGGGGGGGGGGGGGGGAGGGAGGAACGAAAGGATCCCGTCGCGTTCAAAAACTGCTGCAACCGCGAGTCACCTGAACGGCGTCGCGTCAAACGGAGAGCCGGCTCGGGCGAGCGAGATCCCGTCCGTGACAACGCGCGAGGCGAGCGAGAAAGGAAAGGAGACGGCCGTTTCCTTGAACTCTCGGCTGCGAATTCCGCGCGCGCGGCTGGGCACTCCGATCGCGAGAAACCCAGGAGAGGCTCTCGCCGGCGGGGAACAACGTGTATATACGCGCGCGCACGCATGCAATTCGGGTGCAGACGACGCGCGTGCCGGCGACTCGACGGGGTAGAACGCGGGGCGTTTTTCAAACGACTGGCGACGGGAGACCCGCGCGCGCACGCACCTTCCTCAATCTCTCTCTCTCTCTCTCTCTCGCTCTCTCCGCGGCGCGAAAAAACACCAGGACGAGACGGAAGGACGCGCGCTCTCGCTCCTGTCACCGCGAGAGAGCCGAGTGCCGCGCGCCCGGGTCGCGAGGGCGGCGAGGCGCGCGTCGCGCGCCTGTGCGTGCGTGCGTGCGTGCGCGCGCGCGCGCGCGTGTGTACGTCGCGTGTCCGGCCCTCAGGCCGCAGAGGACTCACCGGTGTACGGCGACGGCGAGTGATCCCCGGAGCGGCTCCGTACGCGCTCGCGAAACGCGTGTGTACCGCTAACACCACAGGTCGGGGCAACCGACCGACCGACCGATCAGCCCGACCGTACGTAACCGTGAAAGGCGACTGCGACTTCAACCGGAGTCAGCGCCGCACCGTCGCGGTAGTAGGGCGGGGAGGGAGGGGGAGAGGCAGCTCCGATCCTCGCTCCGTTTCGCTCGCGCTCGCCAATGGCGCGGGCACTCCCCCCTCCCAGCCATCGCGCCCGGCGACCAGCTCGACGACCGCCGCCGGGTGGGGGGGGGAAGGATCGCGCGCGCCGGGTTCCCGCGTCGCCCGCCAGGCGGCGCCACCGCACGGGCGCGCGGACTCCCTCGACAACGGTCCCCGGAAAATACGATGGGAGTGGGCGAACGACTCGGAGCGCGGCGATTTGCTTTTCACACCGCCGACGCGGCTCGATGGCGTGGCTTCGATATCGGGAATACCCGATGCCGTCGCGAGCGACCGAGCTCAATCGAAGCTTATTTATAAAGTCGGTATATCCCACACAAGGCGCCCACCTCTTCCCTCTACTTTTTTTTATGAGATGAGTATATAAATATCCGCGATAAGCGAGTGCTCTTTTTTTTCCTTTGACGAGTTCGGGCTTTCGACGACCAGCATTGCTCGTGGAAATAGAAGTATGCGGTTTCCTCTCGCAAGGAACGTATCTCTCATCGACGATCCTGCCGCGCGGCGTCGCGACAATTTCGAATTTGCATGCGGAGTTTAATAAAATTTATCTTTATTATGAAAATGAACGTTTTACATATGGTGCGAAACTGTAGGTACAATAAAAATTATGCTAAATCGTAGAAATAACGAATTGACAAACATTAAAATGAGAAGAAAGAAAAATCCATTGAAGTGGGGGAAAATAAAAATCGGCACATTCTTACATGTCCATATAAACCTCCGGGTTACCACGAATCGTTTCTACATCCGTAACCATAGATCATTTTACAAGAAACGAAGTCAGTCTTCGCCATTATCAAGTTCGCAATATCCAGGAAATTTGTAACAGAACCGAACATTCCTGTCGGACTCTTCAGACGAGGCTTAATTTCAGATGCTCGTAGAACTCAATATTCACGTATGTTACAAGAGATATTTTTTTTGTAAATTATTAAAAACGCTATGTACAATCGAGCCGCAAAGTCACGAACTTTGGGATCGTTGCTATTTGTTATCAGAACCCTATAATTAATCATCGTGATTCTGACAGGAGGAAAGCGCAAGAAACTTGTAAATTGTGCAACGAGAGACGATTTATTATCTCTAACTAGCTGATCAAAAACTTTAGTATGTACTTTTATATGCGAATTTGGCCAAGTGGAATTGCTCGAGCGAAAATTGGAAGTCACGCGCAACAAATGTCCGCCGTTTTCTCAATCAACCATCTTTTTTTCGTCGTGGAACCGACGCAAGGAAATCTTTACTGTTTTATACTCCGTACATTAGAATTTCGCTGACACAAACGTATATGCGACACACCTGAAGGAAAGTCGACGTGATATCGTGAATGAAACTGCACTCGTAACACGAGATTGTGAAATGAACGTTGCCAGGAGCAAATTAATAGAACCTGCATTTATACATATAAAGCGGCGCGTGACGCGATCCAAGGGCGGAAATGAGACAGAGTTAAACGATGGCGGTTTAGCAAAGTAATCGAGTTTTGCGTCGTGGTGGTAAATAATTGAACATGGTAATCAAACAGGCTCCCACACACGACCTCTGATGTTACCGCAACATGTTCAAAAATTACAAACTGTACCAAAGGCTGCCGTCATCTCGAGCCATGCTACAACGCATCGCTCGCAACACACTAAAAATTTCCTACACTCGGCCTAGAATCCTCTCTTTTTTTCTGTCTCTCCCTGTCTTGTCCGTTTGTCAATTGTCAGTGAACATTTGTCTTTTCTTTAACTCTCTTTTTTTTATCTATATTAAATTATATCTCAATATACTGTTTTATTTATATATCTATATATATATCTATGTATATATCACGCCAGTCTCGCTGTTGATTTAGTAACCTAGGTACACTTCATTAACAAGCACTGGACCAACTCTTTCCTCCTCCCATTTGCCGACGAATCTTGAAATGTTCAATGTCAATTATCGCTAAATTATGCTGGCTTCTGCGAACCCTTCTTGCCGATAAGCGATTTGTGGATATGTGGAATAACACCTGCAATCAAACAACGACATATACAATTCCTTCCTCTCATTCTCACCGGTACAAGCCGAACAAGAAGGAAACGATACTCTTAGAGAGTTCTAAAATTTGTGGAGTGAAAATACTGCCATGGAGTGAAATGCTCACCCTATTGGCGTGAATATTTCCTCCAACAGAGTGAATTTTAACTCCAATGGAGTAAACATTTCACTCCATGGCAGTATTTTCACTCCACAAATTTTAGAGAGTAGATTACTAAATTCTAAATATACTGTCGCGTACAAAGTGTCGTCCCAGAGAAATTACTGATGACTTTTCAAATTGTAAATTACTTGCAACGATTGAATTGTGTCAATACTGTAATTATACAAGCGGAATAGGTCCGGGAAGAAACGTACCTCCTCCTGCAATAGTTGCCTTAATGAGACTATCTAATTCTTCGTCACCACGTATAGCGAGTTGCAAATGTCTAGGTGTAATACGTTTGACTTTCAGATCCTTTGATGCGTTTCCCGCCAACTCCAGCACCTGAGCAAAAAGGAAACACAGTCGTTTAACGAAGCGTTTAATGAACCGTTAAATAAAACTAAGCGTATTGGCAATAATTTCAGTAATTACGCGAATAACCAAGTAACGAGCCGTAAAAGCGATTGTTCGTCAACAGAAAACCGAGTTTTCCCGCGCGGCAACTTTAATTTCAACGGATACACCTCATCACGAATATTTAAAGCGCTGAAAAACAAAAGCCGGGAAAAACAGCCGTGTTTTTTAAGCCAAGACGCCCCTCCCCCCCTCTACTCGATACCCAGCTGCTTCTTTGTCTCGCTTCCTCCTTCCGCGCCGACATTAAGCCCGACACGAATACCCAATTGTTCAACTATTTACACCGTAAGCAACGTCGCGCTCAAATTCCGTTGCATCTCTATCGGACTGTATCTCGCGTCCAAGTGCGACGGCAGTTAAATTACGATTCGACGATTGGAGACAAACATTTTCGTTGCCCTCGCAAACGCGTCAGGTATTTCTCGCCTAATTAACTCGGATACTATCTGCACAAACGACCCCGCCTATCTCGTCGTTTCTACTGTTTACCGTTCGCTCCCTATCTTCCTTCAACTGCTCGGGACACTCTTATTTGTCTACGCGTCTCCTTTATTAATATCCCGACAATAATTATTGCTCGCCGCGTCAAACCCGGCGAGACGCTACTCGGTGAACTCCACGGAGCTCCTCTCGGTCTCGGTTATGATATCAGTTACAATCTCCCGCATTATCTCTTTCTCTCTCTCTCT